GAGATCGTACTTGTCTGGTTCGGCACGGCGAGATCGTATTCTTCTCGTAGGACCCGTCGAGTATCACTTTTAATGACGACATATAAATGCTAATGACATAAAAACACAAATTAGATTATACCAAGTACAAAGGTTAGTCAAAGAATCATACAACTAGAATGGCAATTCAATAGAAACAACTATTTATCTCTAGTACGAACAAAAGTATTCACTCACGCTTGTACAAATCTTTGTTATGTTTCCTTAAATGTTGAGGACCTACCTCAAAGGAAACGCAATCAATTCCCTTAAATTTAAATGCTGTGCCTACCACACAAATTGAATAAGGACATTCAGCCGCCATCCTATTCCTCTTAGTCGATCGCGTTGGGGGTCGGCTGCAATATTAGTGCTTGGCTCACGCGACATACGTCGGCAACGGACAACGCACGAGGGCGCCGTGTATCTCAGAACAAAGAGGCGTAACTGTAGTAGGGTGGGCAATTCCAGAAAAAATGGTCAGAAATGCCCGTACCTCACGCGGTTTGTGGGCAATTGACAGCCGATACGATGCTTTGCAATACATGTCCAGACTCGCAATCTCAGGACGCGTCTGAGTCATTTTTTTTTTCAAAACTGTTGCACACCCTGGGTAAAAAAACCATGGGGCTGTCCATGAGCCATGGACATAAATTTAACCATGGATTTTTGTGACCATAGATTTATGGAACCAGTAAACCATGAAAACAACAGTTGACCATGAGAATATAGTGGATGGATTGCATGGCCATGGCTAATGTGCTCCATGGCAAGGGATGACCATGAGAATTGGCTTTCATGGTCACAACTAAGTCCATGAATGTGTCCATGGTTACTATTACCATTGTCATGTAGAACGTCCATGAACACACGTTTGGAACACAAAGACCATGACAGAACTAATCAATGGCCAACTGTATTAATAATGGACATGGGATGTTTTTCTCATGGTCTGTGTGTTCATGGTCTACGTTTATCATGGCGAGGGTTTGTGTCCATGGGCGTGGAGTCATGGTCACAACCTTTGACCATTGGGTCACGTCCATGATCTCCTAAGAGGTAACTTGCGAAAATAGAGCGCTTCGGGCGAAAATTTCGTTCGTTTTGCTCTATCTCTAACCGTTTACCGCGTGCATTTGCATCTAGTTTGAGCGGCGGGCGGGCCGCTCCTCCGCGCGCCCGTCCCCACCACCGCTCTCTGCCTGCATCCGCTTTTGTTCTTCTCAGTTCCGCTCCGCGCTCCATTGAAATACCCTATTCTCCTTACACTGAATTCCTTGCAATATTTTCAGGTTAATCGCCACTGCCACGCTGTCGATGACATATGCTGGAGAACTTTTTGGCAAAACGTACCGTGCCAGGGTCTTCATGTGGGGCGGCACATTGCAGGCTTTCTCCGCGGCTGGGCACGCAGGTCAGTACGGTGTCATTGTTGGAAAAGGGTGGCTGGGGAGTATATCACCAAGTCAGTTTTCACTCGGTGTTTTCGTGTAGAGTATATTAAGCATATTAAGTATATTATGTGTAATTACGCTAGTATTACTCTCTCGGTAACTTTACAACCAAAATTCTACCATTATAGAGCATATTTGCCTAATTTCAGTACTACATTTCTCGTACTACCTAGTTTTGGTGTAGAGTGTATTGTATTACGTAAGTGAGAACAAAACCCTCGGTAGCCGGACACTTATAAAATGATTTGTCAAAAGTGGTTATGTCCAGGGTGAATAAATAGTCCTTTCGCAGGGCTGGCAAAACGAATTTAATCTTATTTTAAAATCAGTCCTTGGGAGAGCAAAATGTTTCGCTCGGACAAAATATTTTGCCCTAGGGCAAAACCATAAAGCCCTTTTGAAATTGTTTCTCAAAGGGGCAAAACCTCATTAAAACAATTTTACCCAGGTCCAATTTCAGGGGCAAAAATCCTTTTTATCTCCGAGGGCAGGATTCAATGGTTGCTCTATAAATAAACCCACAAAATAAAATAAAACCACACGAGCCCGAGACCCGAGATGCGTCCGGGGATGCTCGCTATCGATTTTCAGAGCTCTTACTTTGGATAGAAGACAAGGCCCAAGATGAGTTGCGAGGATGTTCGTGGTCCACGAGTGAACTGTCTGAAAATTTCAAACACAACTTCTTCGTGATGTTAAAGCCTCATAACTTAATTTAATGTAATTTAGTATTCAACCCCCGAATTAAAATTAGATTTTATTCTCCCCCTGATTTTGATTTAGACCTTAAAACTGCAAGATTTTTCCCCCTGGATTTAATTTTCACTGTAATGAAGTCCCCAATTTAATTCTGTCCATTAAGATTTTGCCCTCATGAAGCGCAAAATTATCAAGGAAATACCATTAAATTTAATTGATTTCGTCATCCATGTTCTTTCGGTAAGGATCAAAAAACGTTAACAATCTTTCTTACACAGCTAAGGGGGCGGACCTGTGAATTGAAGGGTTTGGGAAAATAGTCACTACACAAAAACTACACGCCGCGTCAACTTAGGATTAAATGTCAATGAAGAGCATAGATGGACGCTAATTTTGCCTGCCGCTGGTGCGTGCAGTCTCCAGGAACATTCCTATCTTCGCCTACGCCTGGACGATGCAGTCCTTTTCGGTGTGCCGGATTGTGCTGCAACGGATTGGTCTGCGACTGTCAACAAAGTTCCTACTTACTCTAAAAAGATGCCGCTAGTGGTTCACCTGGGGGTTTTGCAAATTTCAAATTGGAAGTACTCGAAAAAAATCAGATAGCGGGAATACGAAAAAAATGAAATTGTTTTGTCCATTTTTACTAGTACTCCTGTTTCGAAATTTGCTAAAAATCCCAGGTCAACCACTAGTGGCATCTTTTAAGAGTAACTTTTTTGACCGCTGCAGACCCATCCGTTGCGTTACAATCGTGCACACCGAGAGGGACAGCATCGTTCCAGTTGCAAGTTGCAAGCCCTTCCATTTCACTGGTCTGTCCCCTTCATGTTAACTGTGAAACGAACCCGCGTTTGGGGAAATTAAGTCGCTGTAGGTGTTATGGGCAAGGCAGTATACAATGCACGCGTGTATGATGCCGAGCTGCTAGGCGAAAAATGCCACTTTTTCACCGTTCACAATGTTGCTGGTAGGAACGTCGCGTGAGGTGGAAACCGTTTAGCCTACGGTTAGTTCCAAGGAAGGGGCGTAGCTCCGAGCAAGCCCTATCATTATGCAAGCCTTCCACTCATAGTCCTGTCAGTCTGCCCGGTCGCGCACGTTTTTGACTATGTACTGTTGAGAGAATGGGGTACGGGTAAATTGTAGTGCTAAAAGTAAAGCAGACCTCAAGAAGTTCTGTCTGAGCTCTGAAATTCGTAAATCAGTCGCCCCACTGCTGAGTAGCGAGGCATAACAGGTACCGAAGCCCGCACGGCTCTTTTCCGACAAGGACAGAAAAGCTCCGTGCGCACCGGGTTAGCCCTATTGCACAACGCTCAAAGATGTTCCATGAAAAGAATCTTTCAAAAAATGCACCGTTCGGATTTTTTATGCCTTTTCCAGAAAAGTCAGATATTAAGGAAACCTAAACTCAGTTCCTCGTTTCCAAATCGTTGAGGAATTCCCGCAAAATATATGGGGAAAAAGACATTTTAGAATTAGAAAAACACAACAAATAAAATACATTTCAAACAAACTATGTCCTGTAAACCAGAAAATTACCACCAGAAACTGAGCAAACAACCAGAAACGTTCGATAAGATTAGAAACTGGGGCGCTAGCGCTGCAATCACAAAATCTTCATGGAACATTAGTACGGCGAATCAAACGACAATAAAAAAGAAAGAAAGAAGAAGATTTTCCCACCAAAATGCAAGTTCTTAGTGACACTCTACAACAGAAAGGTCTCCCTTCTTCAGGGCTCGCCATGTGGATCATACCGCTGCAGCTTTCGTGGCTGCGCTCTTGGCGCGTGTTTATGCTCCTCACGACACTCATCAACGCCGTCACGGGCCTGTTCCTGCTGCTCCTGCCCGAGTCCCCCAAGAGCCTGGCCGTGCGCGGGCGGCAGCGCGAGTCCATCGGCGTCCTGGCCAGCATCTTCTCGTCCAACACGGGACTGCCGGCTGACTGCTACCCGGTGCGCTCGCTCACGCTCCCCAAGAGCCTGCAGGACTCCGCTAATGAGGGCAACCCGTTCGCCGTCATGGGCCGGCAGTTCGTCAAGCTGTGCCGGCCGCCCTACCGGATACCGCTGTTGTTCGCCGTGATTGTGCAGCCCCTCATCCTCTACTGGTATGGAAAGGGGTTCTCACTTGCATAATACACTGTGCACCTCAATTAAGTGTTACGCGTAGACTGTTAAAAATTTGTTTCCCAAATTTAATAACATTTACTGGAATTATTAGCACAAATATTAATTGTAAATTTAAAAACATAAATGTTATGAAAATAAATAACATAATTGGTATGAAAATGTGTACATAAGTTGTGAAAATTCATTGCAAGAGTTGTGAAATGTCAACTCGTTTAAAGGCCACAAATTTTAATTTTCACTATACATGCGTTGTCTTTCTTGCTTCCTTTTCAGGCGGAGGCTACCGGTATGGTTCGTCTACAGGCCTCGAGTTATAAAGTTAAAAAAAACACAAAAAAAACGAGTGTTGGTTTTCACAACTTCAATGAATTTTCATAACAAAACTGTTATCACTTTTAATAACTTTTCTAACATTGAATGTAATACCTTAATATAGGTAACTATTTCGTCAAATGGTAGAATTCGGGTTGCAGGTCTTATCGTTGAGAAAACTACATTTTCTACTAGTTTAATCAAGGGATGGAACTAGTTTCAACTGCGAAAAAAATTTGAGGTCTACATAAATGCGCCTTTTGTCCACTTTACTTATCATCTGTCGGTACACGGGACCAAACAGTTTCAGTAGGATAACAAATACCACGGTGTTTAGAAAAGACAATCTTCATTTATTTGTGATCAGGTGTTACAGCCTCATGTTCTCATGTTACAGCCTCATGTTCCTATGTTACAGCCAAAATACAATCCGTATGTGGGTACCAACAATCTTCGCAGAGATGGAGCGGGACCTCGCGTCGGGTCTGACGCAAAGTCGAGCGGTATGCAACATCTTAGAGGATATGAGCCCGGCCGCTGCCAACGTGACCACATACACGAACTGCGAAGCGGTAAGCAGAGACGCTTTATTCTCATCTCTTGCAGAGGATTGTCTGGAGATTGTCTGAGGTGCCAAAGTCTGGTAACTCAGTGCCAATAGTAGTACCGTAATGGTCTGAATATAAGCCTCCCCCGAATGTAAGCCCCCCCCCCCCTTTTAGAACCCCTTTTTACACGGACCCGTTTCTGCCAGACAGTTGGGGAGAGGGTGCGAGGGGGCAGGGCGTCATAGTTCAACACCGCCGGTTGAGCAGCTCCACCACCCACGCCCGGGTACCAGAGCAACAATAGTCACCTTGCTCTCTGAGTAGTCAGCCACCCCCCCCCCCCCCCCCCCCCCCCCCCCCCCCACGCGCGCTGCCCAGCGCTCATGCCAAAAATTGTGTTCAATTATAAAAGTAATGATTAATAGGCTATCATTCAAAAAAATATCACGCAAAAAAAAACACATCAAGAACAAGAACAATGCAGCGAGCAGGCGTGAAATGCCTACATGGCCTCCAAAAGCAGATTGTACGAGTGAGAGGGCGCTATGACGCGGCGCAAACTTCTATATTCAAAAAATATTGCTCGAATCTATAAAATAGAAAATTTTCTTAGCTACGGGTCCGTTTATGGTTAGCAATAATTGTTAACGTTAAAATAAAAAACAAAAAAAAGACTATTTTTGTGAACCTAAGCCATTGGGAGCAACCATTTTATTTCAAACCTTTCTAATGTATTTTTGGTGTGTTTTTATGAGTTTAAGGAAGAAGTGCAGAGGAAGTTGAAGGAACAAACTGTTTCATTTGTTAAAATTCTCAATAAATTAAATATTGACAAAATAAAAAGTCAAGCACAAACAAAGTAATGTAAACATGCAGGACTAAAAATGTCATTGAACTACTCTCCAATTGAGAAAAGGAACATTAAACATTTACATTATGCTTTGGTCAAAACAATTTCAATCTTAAAAAGTTACTCATCATCAGAAAAAAGATCATGAATGCCACTTTCATGTTACTCTTCACTTCCTGATGTGTCTGAGGAGCTGCTGCTCTCTTCCTGATCACTGTTGTAATCAGGGTCATTTTCATCATCAGAGTGTTGCCACAGAATGTCATTTTCAGTCCATCCATGGCATTGGAAATACAGGTTGTTTTGAATGATTTTACAATTATTCTTTCAGGAATTTTTCCCCAGGCCCTCTTCACCCATGTGGCCACCATGGCAGGGCTGGGCCTCTTGATCTTTCCAGCAGGAGTGTATTCCTTCTCCCCATTCAGCATTCAATCACTGTACAATTCTTCAATATTGTTTTTGAAGGTCTTATTGACAGAGACATCTAGGGGCTGGAGCAGACTTGTCATCTCTCCAGGGATGATAACCAGGTCAGTCTTTAGCTCCCTTATCTGGAACTTGACGGAGTCGGTTAGATGGCCCCTGAAAGAATCGAGGACCAGCATTGATTGTTTGTTCAGGAGGGCCCCAGGTCGCCGCGCCCAAACGGTCTTCAGCCAGTCCTTCGTTATGTCCTCATTAAACGACCCAGACTCATGGGCGCGCACATGGATGCCGGGCGGGAATGCATCTTTGGGTAGGGTCTTCCTCCTGAAGAGGATGAACGGGGGCAGTTTCCGTCCGTCGGCCGTGATTGCCAGCATGGTCGTGAACCTTGTCTTCTCATTCCCAGTTGTTTTTACCTGAATAGATTTTCCCCCCACCTCTTCCACAGTACTTCGGCTTGGCATATCCAAGTATAGTGGGGTCTGGTCTCCCATATTTCCAGCAGATCGAGAAAAATAATAATTCGAATCTATCATCCAGATCTGGCTTTGAACACATTTTGATGAGGCTAATTTTGTTACACTTTATGTGCAGTCTCATAGAGATTCGAGGCCAGCTTAAAACAACACAATGCGTCTTCTGCCTCGCAGTTCCACGTTGACTCCAGCGTCTACCTCAACTCAGCCATCATAATGCTGGCTAGGGCCGGCTTCCAGCTCACGGCTGGATTCACCATTCAAACGCTCGGTCGAAAGATCTGCTTAGGTGTGTTGTTCTTCTGTGTTCATTCGATTCCGCTTCTGTCTGTCCCTACTCACTATTTACAAAACGAACCTTCTTTTGGAAAGTGCGCACCCAGAAAACGATTTTAGAGTAACGTACTAATGATTAGTATGTTGGCGGTGTATGATACGAACCAAACGTGTCATACTGTTCTTCAGTATTCCACTAATACATGAAATTAGACTGAATTTTAGTATGATTGATTAGTTTGTCACACACTGATCCTAAGTCTTAGTCCCGTAATCTAAGAAAAAGAATGCGGACTGGGCCAATGTCATCATATGACATTAAATACGGCGGATTTTTCCTTGGTTTCCTTGAATGAAGCCTGTTTATCATATTTCCTCCCTGGTAATTACCAATGAGTATATACATTAAATAGTCGCAATTATCGCGAGGGGTAAACGACTAAGGTATTCCGGCTCACGGCTATTAGGAATCCAGGTATAATCTGAGGAAATTAGAAGTAATCCGGAATTTTTTGGGTGTAATCCGGGTTACTCCTTAAAAAAAGGCAACATAATCAGGAGAATACTCTATGCAGATTTGTCGTTCCACCCTTGTTCCACCCTTAAAAATCTATTTCCGAGTAACTTCTCTAGATCACCACGTTCTTCAATGATCGGACATCCCGACATATCGGCCCGAAATTACAAGTTCTCTGCAAATATGATCTAAAAATTAGAAACACACAGCAGAAAATGCGTCAGTCATCGCAACCTTCACTAGCTGTGACAGCTAATGTATTAAGTAGTATGCGCCGAGCCAACTTTTTGAATGTAAGCATCTAAATCATTCGTAAGAGCCAACAGTAACGAACAGTAACGACGTTGAACCAAAATTTCCACTCACTCAGGTAATAGTGGGGTCAGTCGTTCGGTAACATATTTTTGGTCAATCAGGTAATAGTCAAGCAATAGGTAATAGTCGTCGAAATGAGATTTACTGGTATGATACTTCGGTTTTTTGGAGAAGTGTTATTTTTGGAAGCGTTTACTTTTGACCCTTTTGTTCGTGTAACCACATCCTAAATGTCTGAGGTTTGCGGAGGTATTTCCCCTCCTGGGTTTCCCAAATCCCCTCGCCGGTGCAGCTGCGGCAAATTTGCCGGCCAAGGAAGGCGTTAGGATGTCTCTCACATTCTGGCCAGTCGTACCACTGTTGGAAATTATATCGTAATTTGACGGAAAATGTCCTGTTAGTTCTTATCTGCACAAAATATTTGTTGTTTTTAAGTAACGAAAACATTCGTAAAATGACGAACAGTTTGTAACTCGGTTGTCGTCTTAAAAGAACGATCCCACATTCTAACATCCTGATCAATTGACACATTAAATCGTGATGTTACGAATAGTTTGTTTTATACCGGTACGAACAGTTCGTAATCGAAATTGACGAATAATACTTAGAGAGAGACTCGCAACGCCCGAGCAGAAGCCGCAACGTCCTGGCCGTTAGTGGCTAGTCACTTGTTGCCCGTCCCAAAGTCCGCTCCGCTCGCGGGTGCGCGGTGCGGTCAACCTGTGTGCCTGACAAGACCGGGCTTCCACTCGCCACCGCACTCGCCACCGCTATGCTCGCCCCAGTCAAATCGTTGTAGACTCCCCGACCGACGCCTCTCCCCGCACCGCGTCAATTTCAATTACGAACTATTTCTAACAGATTATTATCGTGGAATGACGAAATTTATTAACAGTACCCCCCGC